TCTCTCTCTCTCTCTCTCCCTGCAGACAAAGCCGTTCCGCGTCCTGCCTACAGTGGCACTACCAACTGTCAGTCGGGTCCACCAAGCGAGACTCTCTCGTCTGGCCGTAGAGTGGGAAGCACCCAGTCACACTGAATGAAGCCCGCATTGCGTGTGTGCGTGTGTGAGTGTGTATGTCTGTGCGACTGATTACCACACTACACACTACACGCCGGCACCGGGTCGATAATACAGCTGTGTGTTTACCTGTTTCAATATACACCCAACTTTAATCTTTGGACATCACTTTATACCAAGGATACGAAGGTATGTTAACAGCGACAGCTTTAATGCTAATATTCTTTTTATTGCGTTGTGTTGCTGCTATGCCATTACCTTTAGCTAATGCTTCTTCCGTATTAACGGTAACGAGATAATCTGTCACGGTGTCTCCGAGCATTATTCCATTCCCAATGCCTGCCATCTGATAATTTGTTTTGGTTCCAGAAAAGCTTTCTAGTAGCATAAAAATTCATTTAATATTATTGGTCGGTATATTTCTAATTTTTGTCTTGCAAGAGCCCCACAAAGACACAATGATCATTAAGAGGAAAGGTTTGAGAATTGCATTCTTTGAAGCAAGGGGTGGGATGGGTTTTGGGGCGGTGGATTTTTTTTTTTTCGTAGCGGGAACCTTGAAGGACACCCTGGCGGTAAGAGAGGAGCTGAAAAGATGCCACCCTAAGCCAGGGAGGTTATAATGGCGTATTAGTGGAATCCCGCCCGTGGGGGAAGTGTGGCGTCCTCTCGGATGGCTTTTATTGTTGACTATTTATTCGCACCCTCCACATCCCCACCCCACCCCCTTGTCCACCCATACCCGTTCCGGATATTCGGCAATTCCTTCCTCGCAAAATTTTCATTCATGCCAGCGCAAGTTCTTTTCTCAACAGGCCTAGCTGAATCATTCATTTCGTTAAAAGATCACCCAGCCTGGTGGCCCATGGCCCACATTCAACGAAAAAAACGTAACGATCCGGTTGTTTTGCTATCGATTTCCATTACCTCTGTGAGAGTAGTGAGACAGAGCATTATTGCGCCATAGTCGATGCTGCTCACCATAAGAGCAAAACGGTCTGCAGTGTAACAATGGCTTCGTTAGTGCCAAGTGGGGAACAGCGAAACAAATAAATACTATCATGCTTTCACCTGTCGCGAGATTATCTTGCCATTTGAGCCCAAGTGCACTTCGTAGACACTTCCAGGGGTCCATTATGCTCATTGCAGAGCCAGTTTGTTTAGGAACAGCCTCGCAATTTATTGGTTCAGTTTCCGAGCTGAATTCTGCCCTGTCTGTCCATCTCTCTCTCTCTCTCTCTCTCTCTCTCTCTCTCTCTCTCTCTCTCTCTCTCGCTTTTGTTCTCGCTCTCCTCTCCCTTACTCTCTCCCTCCTTTCCCTCTCCCTCTCGAACACATAAATGTCAGACACAATGGCTGTGACAATGACAGTGATAATGATAATGGAATACTATATTGATTTCACCACGAGAAATTCGTTCAGGTCTTAACTTCAGTAGTGAATAGTGTGCTCATACATTCATGCTCTGTCTGTCTGTCTGTCTGTCTGTCTGTCTGTCTGTCTGTCTGTCTGTCTGTCTTTCTGCCACACACTCAAACACACATAGGTACGCCCTCAGGGTCAAGACCCTTGTGGGTCAAACTTAATAGAACCGAAAGGAGCGACCAGAAAGCAACAACTTTAATCTCCATTCATCCTTCCAAAGACGTCTGTCCAGGAGTGAGGCGATAACCAGCACTTGTCCTCGACAGCCCTCAATAGCCCAGACCCCTATATTGAGAGCGTTTATCCAAATGAGTGACGGCGGGGTTTATCTCCGTGCAAACTGGGTGCCTTTAGTTTATCGTTGTCTGATTGGACACCGGGGCGGCCACCTGGGAAATGAAACTTCTGGCAATGGGGAGGTTTTAACTTCTCAGCACTACTTGAGCGTGTTTAAAATACTCTTACGAGAGAAGGAGAGAAGAGAAAGAAGAAGGATGAAAAGGAGAAGGA